CGGAGCTGGAGTGTCCTTCCGTGTGCCCGGCTGCGGGGGACGGCGGCGGCTGGCGCTGCGGGGTGGGGTACAGGAGGAGCGGAGTTGGCAGGGTCGGTCCCTGTCCCTGTGAGGCTCTCACCGGAATCCCTGCTGTCCCCGAGCAGCTGAGGAGCGCTGGACACCCGGGTCGCAGGTGTGGCTGCGGCCCTGTCTCCTGGTGGTGTGAGCCCACTGCGGCTGTGGACTCGCGTGGAAACTGCGTTCCAGGGCCTGGTCCCGAGGGGGACGGGCGGCGGAGCCGAGCCAGGGGGAGGATGCCGGGCTTCTGAGGGGTCTGAGTGCGTCCCGGAGCGAGTGAAGAGCACGACTCGGGGCAGCGCTCCGCACCCGGCCACCGTTCCGGGTTTGAGAGCCCTGCTCTGGGCGCTGAGGGTCTGCTGGGCCTCGCCGCGCCGAGTGGGAATGCCGAGTGCACCCAGGCGGCCCCAGTCTGTTCCCCACTCCCTGAACCCTCGGGCGGACCGCAGGGCTGCAGCCGAAAGATAGATTTGGACCTAGTGGAAGGACGCCGCCCCTTAACCCCGACTATGGACTCCACAACATCAGGTTTGGTTCTTGAGTGTGCAGGGGGCCAAAGCCCTCCTGGGGAGTTAGTACCGGGCCTAGTAGGAGAACGACCCTAGGAAGAGGCCGGGGAATCCCACTGAAAGGGCACAGCCTGCAACCGCCTTCCTTGTGGCGATTCCTAACTTTCCAGACCCGGGAGGCTGAAGTCCCAGCATCCAGAGACCGTGGCGGAAGTGGAGGGAATGGCCACGGAAAACTTGTCCCAAAGGCCAGAGGACAGACGGGAGAGCTGAACTACACAAGGAGAGCGGGCAGGGCAGGAGAGGATCTGATCTCCTCCTACTGTGGCAGGGAGAGGGCAAACAAACCTGAGAGGGAGTGGCCCTTGGCCAGGGATCTGAGGACCATAGGGCCATTCGGAGCCATTCACCCACTATCTTAATCACTTCATTAATAAAGTTCTTCCAGCTCTTCTAGCTCAGCAGTGTACAAGGTCAGTCGTGTACATGGTGGGCACCTGCTGTGAGCCACTCTGTCCCCCAGTAGTGTTGGAGCAGGGCGATCAATCCAGGTGACCCAGGAGGTTTTAAGCCATCCCCTAAGTTTAGAAAGTCTTATGGTTCACCAAGTGGGCATTTTAATTGAACTGTTCATTCTTCAGCGCACATGCTCAAGGTCACAAAACTGGCCAGTGGAAGAATTGGGCCAAATCCCTGGTCCTCCCCCCACCCCCCGCCCCCTTTTTCCTTTATGCTCTTGATACTCAGTGTGGCCCGCGGACCAGCCGCACAAGCATCACCTGGAAGCTCGCCAGAAATGCAGACTCTCAGGCCCTACCCCATGCCCACCAAAACAGAGTCTTAATAAGTCTTGAACCAGAGTTTGACAAGATCCTTAGGGATCCATATGCACACTAATGTTTAAGAAGGGCTGACCTGTACTAAGCTATGCTGCTTGCCTAATTCTATGTTGTTGTTGGCCTTAACTACTTCTCTATAATGATTTGGGTTGGTTTTTTGTTTGTTTTAAAAGAGTATGATATAAAGCTCTAATAGAGGGGCTCTCAAAGTGTGCTGCAGGAACCTAACAGTGCTTGGGAAAGCAGCTCAGGAAGAGCTGGCCTCTGAGCTGGGTTCCTGAGGATGAGGGGAGAGATATAACTTCTTCCCATTAAGGTCTCATGTTCCTTCATGGCCTTGCCTTGGGCTTCACTCTGTAGCTGTTAGCCTGCATTATATAGCTGTTAGCCTGTATTATATCCTCAGGCTAGATTAAAAGTTCCTTGAATGTCTTCTCCATGTTTATATTTCCAAAAGGCCTAGTAGAGGACCTGCATATAGTAGGTCCAGTAAATAATGCTCCAGTCGAGTGGCCAGACTGGCCACACTTCATCCACCTGCAGTCTGCTGTGGGCCTATGGACAGGTGATGCCTCATGCAGCTGTGGACAGGGGCACTTCTCTATGATGTGGGCAGGGTAGAGGCTGTCCCTCAGCTCCCCTTGACCCACCTGTGTCCCCAGAACCACGGAGGTGACGTGCAGAGCTGTACAGGGATCTCCAGCTTGGGGAGGCTGGGAGCTGTACACGCCGTAAGGGTTAGCCTCCCTTATGGCTCCTTTTACTTTCCTAGCTCCCCCTTCTCAGGATCCTGCTCTTCCTCCAGAGAGATATCCAGGAGAAAAGGGAACAACCAGTTTATTCCCGAAAGCCAGGCCCCAGGTGAGTTGGGGTTTTCTTAATTTTTCCTCAAATGCCTGAACTATGGATAGCTTTCCTCCTTTCTCTAGAGCCTCTTTGTTCACCAAAGGAAACTGACCATAATTCCTGCTCTGCAGGACACTGAGCCCATCAAGGGGGATAATGGCCTCCCTGCCCCTTGCCCATGGACCTCCCCTCTCTGCTCAGTATGCACTCACTCACTCACTTGGGTCCTTTGGGATTACTCTGGCTTATTTCTGTAAGGAGCCTGGTGACTACCAAGTAATGTGGCAGAACCCTGGCCTTGAAGGAATGTCACAGCCACAGTGAGGAGAGGACTCTGACACCCAGGATGTAGTGACCAATTACAGTAATGATGTGCATGGTTTGATGGCAATCAGAGTAGCGCAGACAGGCTTTTCCATCGAGGTTTGGGAAAAGGAGAATCAGCTGTGCTGGACAGGTTGGGGAAGGCTCATAGACAAGAGGGGACACAAGGGTTTGAGGGTGTGGACAGTTGAGGCTTGCTCTCTGTTCAGATGTTTTCTTCCTGGATTAATGAGGAGACAGACTTAATTTCACTGTTTACAGGTTGTGTGATTTGCAGGACAAGTGACCTAACCTCTGTATGCATTGGTTTGCCTCCTGTAAAATGAGGATGATAATGTTGATGATGATGAAAATAGTAAGTTATTTTTTACTGACAACTGGATATGTATCAGGAACTATCCCACACAATTTACATATACTAACTCATTTTCATCTTTAAAACATTCTCATAAAATGGTTACATTTTGAAAAGTGACAACCAAAACAGAGAGGTAAACTGAGGAAACCATGGAATAGAGAGATAAAGTAACTTGTTCATGATTATCTAGATAGTGAGGAAGCGAGCCCAGTTTCAAATCCAGGCTGTCTGGCTGCAAGATATTAATCACTTAATAATATGAAGGTACTTCAAAAAGTTCGTGGGAAGATAGAATTAAAAGATATTACAAATCTTCCCATGCACTTTTTGGAGACCTCTTGTACAACTACCTCATATGGTTGTTGGAGTCTTTTGGAAAATGGTAATTACGTATGCCTTGTCAGCTTTGGGCATAATGGTGGCTGATGCCAGAGGTGGATTCAGGTTTGGCTGTAGTGAGCTGGGTGTGGAGGGCTGTGAATGTCAGCCCGCAGAGTCTTCTAGTGTCCAGCAGGGTAGTTTAGTGGGATGCTAGCTTGGTGATAGACATTTACATTTAATATTTTCTACCTAAAGGAGGAAACTCCCACCAATAACGAGTTCTCTCAAGTAATTAGTATAGTCATAGAGTTTAAACCTCTTTGGCCTTGGTGTGTGTCATTCAGAGGTATATCAGAGCTTAAGCTAGTTACATGTGGTAACAACAGCCCCCCGTCTCAGTGGCTCACAGTAACAACAGTGTATTTCTTTCTGCTGCGTTTATTGGTAGTGGGCTGACAGGGACTCTGCTCCACACCCTCTTTGCTTTGGGATTTAGGTTGAAGGATCAAGCCTGCTCTGGGATATGCTGTTTTTGTGGCAGAGGGAAAGCAATGTCAGAATCAGGGGATGGCTATTTTAGCTTCTGCTCGGAAGTGGCATGTGTCACATATCCTAACAAGCCATTGGCAGAAGCAGGTCACATGGCCAAGCCTAATGTCAATGGAGTGGGAAAGTATAGGCCTCCTACAGTGAGGGGCTCAGAGGGAGGAGCAGTGATTATTTTGAACAAACCATTTAGTCTATCACTGTCTGTTTTCTTCACAAGCCATTGGCAGAAGCAGGTCACATGGCCAAGCCTAATGTCAATGGAGTGGGAAAGTATAGGCCTCCTACAGTGAGGGGTTCAGAGGGAGGAGCAGTGATTATTTTGAACAAACCATTTAGTCTATCACTGTCTGTTTTCTTACTCAGAGATGTTCACTTCCCTTTCTCCTGTGCACAAAATCCCTCCCGAAGAGAGATAACCCCAATGTCCATCCAATCAGAGTATCATGATCAAAGTTCTGGATGGTGTGATAATCTCTACATCAGGTCTGGATGTTTCTCCTCTGAATCTGGAGAACTATGAATTAAAAGGACAAGCCACCCTAACCCATACATCCAACATACAGTGGAACAATGGGGATGGGATGACTACAATAAATACTCCTATTCAGAAACAGGAAGCCTGAGAGGAGACCAGCTATCCCAGGTCCATAAGTTATGAAATGCCACTGGGCAGACACCGTGAGGACCCTTGATCTTGGGAGTGAGAAAGTCTCTGGATTCTGCTCCCTGGGCAGAGCTCCACAGCCTGGAGGGCAAGCTGTTGGCTCTGCCCTCAGGAAGTTCCTTCCTTTTGCAGTATCTTCTTTGGTCATATGTGAAGATGATATTGGAGAATAAGCTCTCCTGGGGGCTAAGCAGCTTTAGCTTAGCTTCAGCCATCCTGCCTGAGCTGAGTAAGCCTGAGGATTTTGTAAGTCATGAACATTCAGTGTAGCTCTCAAAAACGTAACCAGCTTTTTATGTTTTTGCTTCTGGTCGGCTCCATGTGTCAATAACTTTACCCACAGTTCTTTTTGAAATATACCCCTCTCTTTAGACTTAATCGTGGAGCTTTTTGGATTTCCTTGGTTGGTAAATTCACACTTTTTTGAACTCAGCAATTTGGTCCCACTGAAAGGATTTACTGGGAGACATGTGATATTACTCAGAGGTTTAAACAAAAGGTTTGACAACCACACCCATGATTTGGTTCCTGATATTAAGCTGAGTTTTAATCATCCTTTTGTCATGCAAAAGCCTTATGTGTATTATCTTTGGTCAGCTGGAAGTGAGAATTAGTTAAGTCTCCAACCTTGCAAGTCCTGCCATTTCTGGACACTTCCTATTGCCTTCCATTTTTGTTTTGCAAATCAGTAAACATTTGAGCCCATTTTTTTTTTCTTGTAATACTTTGTCAAACACAGCCAACTCACACTACTAATGTTATGTTTCCAGTGCCTTCTCATAACATCACAAACTCGTGCTTACATTGTTCATCTTTCAAGTTGTTGTGGGCAATAGTTTTACCAAACAGTTCACCACCAAATTACAAGGGTCACCACCTTGCCAATAAGTTTCCTCACTGCCTGGTCTTGAAGCCAATGTTAAGTATTTTAGGCCTTTTGTTGGGGCAGAACCCCACTGTGAGTACCAGCTTTTTTTTTTTTTTTTTAATTATTTTTATTTTGTCAATATACAATGTAGTTATTTATTGTGGCTTTTTTTTATTATTTTTATTTTGTCAATATACAATGTAGTTATTAGTACCAGCTTTTTAATAAGTCAGTTTAGGCTAATTATGCCTTGATAACAACAGCAAACCCTCAGAAACTTACACCATAAAAAGGTTTATCTTTTGCCCACATTACATGCCAGCTATGGCTTTGTCCCACATTCTTGTCTCGGATCATTTGCCATGCTCGAGGTCGAGGGAAAAGAGCAATTGAAAAACCCCACTGGCTCTGAAAGCCTTTGCTCACATGTAGCTCATGATTATTCCTTCACTTTCCATTTATGAAAGCAGATTACTTGGTCACTCATGGGTCAGGGAGGCAGGAAGCTCGATCCTGTTGGGAGGGCCAGTGGATATTTTGGACAAATAATAAAATCTATCCCAAGAGGTTACTGTAGTAGTGAGTTTTCCACATTTGATTATTTTGGCTGACTTTTACATTAATATAAAATTGTTTCTTTAACTCATTTTTCCATAGAATCATTAGTGTCTAGATGGGATTTGATTTTTAAATACTTTGGGGTAAAAGAAGTAGGAATTTATAGTACTCTCACCTATTCTGCTTTTTAGTTCAGATTATAAGTCAAATAGGAGGTATTGTAATTACTGAGATTGAGGGTGACAGGGTAGTTCTGGCTAGGACCTGTATACTCTCACCTATTCTGCTTTTTAGTTCAGATTATAAGTCGAATAGGAGGTATTGTAATTACTGAGATTGAGGGTGACAGGGTAGTTCTGGCTAGGACCTGTAGGATGGCAATACTTGTAGTGGTGACCTGGGATCCGGGGTCTCAGGCTCAGCTTTGTAGACTCAGGAACTGAATAAATAATTAGGCTTTGGGGGAAAGGACTCATGCTAACCAAACTCACAAGACTTATTGATTCATTATAAGACCATTTGATTTACATTTGCTGAACTGTGTGCTGGCAGGTAGATAGGGGAATAAATTATTATAAGCCCCAAATTATTTGATTTGGCTTTAGTGAAAATTGTCATTAAAATCATCGGTCACAAGGCTCAAAAATGCTTTATTAGAAGACTATTGATACTCATGCATTTGAGAATGCAAAGCATATTAGTCTGTAAATTTTAATTGATTCCAATTAAATACAACTAAATTGAAAGTAAAACCTCCTGACAAATGAGGAAGCAGGTTGCTTCCATCTCCCCCACCTAAGCAGAATGTCTCTGTAGGCCTGATTCTCCTGAGACCTTGATTATATTTCTTAGTAGCTTGATGTTGGTAGGCATATAAGTGGGCACTGGGTGGGATACCAACTAGTAAGGATGGTCCGGTCCTTGAAGTGGCTTAAAATATTTTTGAGATGATAAAACCACCAATTCTCTGGTCATTTGGATAGCTAGGAGTTCTCAGAATCCCTTTTTCCACATCCTGAGGTTCTACTCAGATGCCTGTCCATTCTCATCCCCAGGGTCATGGGTGTGCTCCTTGAGGGTATAGGTGTGTCTTCTGTTTTTCAGGTCTTGATGACATTTGAAGATGTGGCTGTGGAATTCACCCAGTGGGAGTGGGGGCAGCTGAACCTTGCTCAGAAGGACCTGTACAGGGAGGTGATGCTGGAGAACTTTAGGAACCTGGCCTCCTTGGGTGAGTGTGGCTTCTCTGAAGCCCCAATTCTGCACATCAGGCTATTTTGAATTTCTTGGTGTTTAAAAGCAACAGGTGTCTGGGCTGTCTGGCTGAGTTTTGCCTGGGGTTCTGGAATCAGGTATTTGCATTCTCTTTGGGGCCCAGAGATATAGTATTTCTACTTCTTGTTCTAGGAAAAGTCCTGCTCTTTACAGAATTGAAATGTGAAGTTTTCTGACTCTGCTCCTGACAGTTACAATGCCTGTTCTGTAGAGGATTTCTACATCTGCAGTATTTCTCCACCTTGAAGATCAAGGGCCAAGGACTTGGCCTCCAGCACACACAACCACGAGCCTTTTCTTTCTCTACCATCAGGGCTTTCAGTGTCCAAACCAAATGTGATCTGCCAGTTGGAGGAAGGGGAAGAGCCCCACGTGTTAGAAAGAGAAATCTCAACAGGAGCCCACTCAGGTGAGTGAGTACGAGTGTTATGAGCTTTGCACATAACAAGGCCCAGCTGGGGGGGGGGGAAGCGGCCCTGAACTCTTGGTCAGGGTCACTTCTTTGAGAAGGTGAAGCCACTTGGCAGTAGTCCTCAACTCTAGTATTTTGAATTTTGTAATTATTTCTGGTGTCAGAGAGATGTTCATTTTCTTGTCTAGTGTATGCCATTTCTTTGGTACCCATCTCTGCCCATACCTTCTGGGTTACCAGTGCCCTGTAGTATCACTGGTTATCTCACAGTCAGTGTTATATGGGTCAATAGTCATACACGGCCAGGCAATCGTACAACAGCTGGATTAAGGGAGTTAGCAAAGGATCAGACAGAATAGTTGAGCAGCCGAGAAATGAAAGGGT